ATATATATATATATATATATATATATATGTATATATATATATATATATATATATATGTATATATATATATGCAACAAAAAAACAACAAACAAATAATAATAATATAAACAAATATAAAACAAACAAAAAACAAACAAATAGAGAAGGGGGTGTTGCCTTGGTCTGTTTATATAAAGGCCCCTGTTAATATATTAATATATAAAAATAAAACAAATGAAATTAAAATGTATTAAAATAATGAAATAAACATTTTAATTGAATGTATTAAATAATAAACAAGATGTATTCATATATGGTGTATAGGGAGAAGAAGATATATATGTAGGGGAAATATCTGTTTATTTTTTTGTTTTAATTTATTTTATATTATTTTTATTGTATTTTAAACTATATATATATGTGTTTAGTGAATAAATAAAATTATTTTTGTGGTGTATCTGCAGCTCTGTACACTGACATACGAAATGAGCGGTGTATGCGTCAGTACAATAAATGTTGTTTTTTTTAATTTATTTATTTCATCTATTGTTATTTTCTTTGTGTTTTTTATTATATTTGAATTGTTGAAACGCAATAAATTGCTGTTTGTTTGTTTTTTTGTTGTATTTCTTTTACTGCGTTTCGTAGATGACCAGTGGTCAGTTCAAGTCGGGTGGTTACATAAAGATAATAGAAATTTTGGTTTTGTTTGTGTGGGTAGAAAGGGTATTTTTAGTGTAAATTTTGTAATTAATTTTTTAAATTATTTTATTTATATATTTAAATAAATATAAACAAAAAAGAAAGCGAAAATAGACAAGGAACCAGTGGTCAGCTGAGCGCTCCACCGGGCGCCAGCGATCGCGCCCGTCAGGTGTATGCGCAGGTCGCTTGTGCAAGTTGAAATATGAAATAAATTACGAAATAAAACATAAACAAATTTATTTATTCTTAATTTTGACTTTGTTTGTTTTTGACAAAAAAGGTATTTCATCTCCATCTACGTGTTTGTTGCTGTGCAGCTGATTCAATTTCATTCTGAAAAAGGTTTCGTGGTTTCGTGAAATCGGTAACCCGATCCTGTACCTTTTTGTATAAATCTTTTTGTGTTTTTTGTTTTTTTTTTGATAATTATAAATATATTTGTTTTTTCTTTCTGAATATCCGGAAGATCGCGAGAATGGTTCATGGGGTAATGCGTATTCCCGCCGCCTTTCTGGTTTTTCTGCTGGCCGCGCACCACCACCAGCCAGCGAAAGCTCAATCACCCTTTGATGTTCTCTCCACAGCCATCACTGAACTGAGCAGAGTTATTACAGTTCCCTTCGAGGTTATACCGGGCCTCTTGACGGGGGCAAGAAGACCAGTAAGCTCTCTATATATACAACTTTATTATATAATAATATATAATATAATATATATATATTATATATATATATTTTTTTTTTAGTATTTCATACTTTTCCTCACTTTGGGTGAGAATGTAGTGTAAAATTATCTCATATATATATTATATTATATAACGCTTTTTTTTAGGGTTTAGGGTTTAGGTATGTCAGTGGGTGCAGCAATATGAAAGTATTAATATTTATTATATTAAATAATTTTTTTTTTTTTTTTTTT